GTGCCTATAAATTGCGTTTGTGTTATAGGGAAGGGGGTTTTGAAATTGAATTATCGCTGCTTGCAATTACCGAAAATAAGTATCCGAGCACAGTTACAAGCCCCTGTGACAGGATGAAGCTGTTTAAAACAAATAATCTACAGGACAACAAAGGCAGTCTGACTACACCCAGCCCCTACTAACGGCAGTGGATTGTAGGGGTTGGGTCTAGTCACGAAATGTGGTTTTCAATTTTTAGTCCAAGTGCTTTAATCTTGCTTGTCCAAATAATTATGACATCTTGTGAGGCTAGTTGTATGCTCCAATTGAAGGGGTATTATATTTTTTGGTAAATGTATCTGTCCGTCTTCTTATCTGTTTTTCAATCCATTCATAATAAGGTTATAGTTTTTAAAGTAGTTTAGGGTAAAGTTGTAGTCACTTCAACTTGAAAGTAATTAATAAATGTTCCTTATGATGTGTTCTTTCTAATTTGCAATTCGAATTAGGGCTTTGATTTCTTTTTCATGCTTCTGGTATGCGGTAAACGATTGAAAAATAAGGAACAAGAAGTCACATCGGGACCAAAAAGCACAAAACAACCCAAGGCCACCAATGGGCCTTCTACACAGCCAGAAGTCCAATAGCCAGAGACTGGCTTGAGCAGGCCCGAAACACTAATGTATACTAGTTCAGGAAAATGGCACCACTCTACCATCCGAAACAAAGATATGAACCAAAATGAAAAAAAACACTTTCAAGACTAACAAAGGCAAGATGTTCCTGACTTAGGACTGGCGTAAAAAAGCTGCCGACTAAAACATGTTAACTTGTGTGAGATATCAACCTTCCCACTATAAGTACATTTAAATAAACTTAAAAAAAAAAAAAAAACCTTTAAATATCCTTTTTGAATTAAAAAAAAAACCTATACTTATAAAAAAAGTTAATGTTTCAAACATATAAAATTCATCAAGAGTAGACCGAACGGAAAACTATAATTTTCTAAAGAAGATGAAATTGTTATACCACTTGCTTGCGACCTGGGAGTAGATCAAATGGGAGTAGACCAACTGGGATGTTACCATTTTCAGTACCTGCTAATACCTAAAATTATCTAATCAACATAAATATAATTTTATGGTACATGTACTGTATTGTACTGTAAATTAATTTTTTAAAGCCGTGGGCTCTGATGTAATAAAAATGTTCAGAAATACAAGTAGGAGATAAATAAGTAAATTGAATGTTTTTATTAACATAAAATTTACAAAACTGTCTGAACCAAGTATAATGAACAGTTCTTGTAGTATAGGCAATATAACTGTTCCAAAGTTCATCACAGCTTGATTTTTGACCGTATACTTCTGAGCTATCTTAAATTATATAACTGATCTGAAGAAAAATCAAACTACAGTTGGTAGCAGACCAAGTATAACATGAAGTCAACGCGCGTTAACGCCACGTGAACATATTTCATTTGTTAACTCCAATTGTTGCGTTTAATATAATTACGTTAACGTGGTCACAGAAATGTTTGAATCTTATGAATTTAATGCAAGATAAAATCAGTACTTTAGAAATCATTGAAACATTTTGATGATACCGAAATACAATCAATGGATTTAACTTCTGTTTGGATATGCCAGTTTCGTCCCATTTACAATGTTTACGATATGATAATTTGCAATGAAATACATTAGAAGGCTTTGTATTTGACTTGGAAGGTCAAACTGAAATTTACAGAATTTCAATCAAAATAAAAGTTCATCCAATATTTTGAAATTTTAATTGAATGCAAGACATAAATAGCAGTGCTTTAGTACTTCAGTATATCAGTTGAAATAAGAGTAATGACACCAAGAATGCAATGAATACATAAAATTGCGTCTGTTTGGGGTTATGAGTTTCTCCAGTTTACACTGGTTGAAATGTGATCATTTTTTTACTTAAACTGAATCTCTCCCTTTTGGGCCGGTCACCTGCGATGGAAATCAAAATACCCTATCGTTATTTCCTATCATCATTAGAGTTGATTTTATAGTATTTATTGAATGATTTGCACTGTACAACCCTTATTTAAATTGTAAAAAGACATCATAGGTCAGCAAGAATGATAGTCTTACTTGATTCCATATACCCAGTTGATAAATAACTTTAATATATGTGTGCTCAAATATTAAACAATCATTGGGTGTTGGCACTTAAATTATTTTGTGGTAGGGGTGAGCAGCTGAGGTGTCATACCCTGTCATATATTGTTTGACAAAAAAAGACCATTATAACTTCATTACACTATTTCATGGAGAATAATAAAAGATTACATAATTAAGAATATCAAGCATAAGATAGTATATTGCCTATGATATCATCATATATTTAATCTTAATTTCTCAACCTTAGCATATGTCGTGTTGCTTATAATAATAGTGACATATTGCAGTTGTTCACCCCTGACATTCATCACAAAGTAAGTCCCCGATCCCCAAAGACGTTGGCTTTAATGCAGAACTTTGAAGGAAAAAAAGGTGGTATCGCATAACCTCCACCTTTGTAGCTCCATACGCTTAGCAGGTATGATACAAAAGAAATGGCAACATGGAAATAAGCAACAGTCCTAAAGGTGGTGTTAAACACCATAAATCAATCAACCATCAATGTGCATAATCATTGTACATCGTCTTGCATGTATCAATAAACTCATCATAGATACCAGGATTAAATTTTTATATTTACGCCAGACGCGTGTTTCGTCTACAAAAGGCTCATCAGTGACGCTCGAATCCAAAAAAGTTTTAGGCCAAATAAAGTACGAAGTTGAAGAGCATTGAGGACCAAAATTCCTAAAAGTTTTGCCAAATACAGCTAAGGTAATCAATGTTCATCTGTCAATTCCATGGAATTATATGGAAAATAGCAAATTACATGTATACATCAAAATTCAAATATATATTACTTGTACTACTATACCTAAAGACAGACAACATTTCCATTGTGATTTCTGGGGTCCTAATTTGAGGCTCTTACGTGTGTTAAAATACTCAAAATGATCTTAAATTAACACCATTCCTGTTTCAAAGGATGTTGAACTCATTAAAGAAGGAAAATCCCTAGCGACTACATTTTTCCTATCGAATTCTAAGTTCATACGTACATGTTAAAAACTGATATTTGTTTAGTTATGAACATTCGGTTTTTCAATGAGATAAAGGAGTGGTCATATACTGTAATTATAAGGACACCTGTCTAGTTTTTAAAATTAACTTATGTCTTGAAGATTAATATTGGTTATCTATATCGTTAGATTGGTGTCTTATTGACGTGAATCTAACAGGCTCTATTCCAATAACCATGTATTTTGCGGTAGTTGTGTCTGCTTTTGATTCTAATTTAACATTTAAGCTTCGGATGTTTTTCTCATTGTCTACTATTATTATTGTGTGGGGTATGTAAAAGTTGCACTCCAGGCAGGTCTACCATTCCAATACAATACATTTTTTACAGTTGGATTAACTAGTGTATTTCAGAGTAAACATCCCCACCACAGGGCTCTATTGACTTATCTAGTTATGTAATCAACTATGACAAATGCAAATTTTTGTAGAAAGTTGCAAACAGATTAATCTCAGTTTGACGACTATTGAGTGAAGAATAGTGGTACATGTGGTCTTCATTTTTACCATTTTACATTCAAAAAGGAATTGTATTGGTAACTAAAAGCAAACGCGTTTCATTTGCATATTATGATTGCTGTATATAAAGCATGCATGACCTGCCAGTTCTCTTCTGGCACAAATGCACACTCCGTTTGCACAGTATAAACATAAAGGATTATTTCAGCTCTAAAGATTATTTCACTGGTTATAATTTTTATTTGATTAAGAAGATATGGCCATGTGATGCTCCATATACACTGAAAAATGTTTAAGTTATAAACTAATATATTTACAGCCTGACACTTCACTCGGTTGCACATAATTCAAATAGCAATACTACGCAAATTCTAAATGACCGAATTAAGAGATGTTTTGATAATACTTCACTTATGATCACGAGGAAAAAGACTGATCGCATCATATAACGTAGATTTAAATTTTGAAGTTCATTTTTTGTTTTGTGTTTTAAAAAGAAATATTTCATATTGATTTTTACGATGTGATATGACCCATCCACATATCATGTTCGTCAATGTAATTTCACTTTAAATCAATTACAGCCAAGTGTCACAAGAAAGAAATTACAAATATAGAGTTAAATAGTTATTGAAATCTTTGTTTGCACATTATCGGTAATATTTGTAATTTTCTACATGTTACAAAATGTATGCTTGTATTTTTTTAAGTTACACTAAAAAGAGTATTAAGAAAAACCTTCTGTTTCGTCGTTTCTATTATGTCATTATACTGCCTTTATGATGTATGATGCTCATTTTTTGGTTCGATATCTTCTACAAGTTACCAGAACTCATCAACGAAACCATGCTTATATTTAATACTCCAGATGTGCGTTTCGTCTACATAGAACTCCTAAGTAGCGCTCAAATCAAATCAGTTTGACAAAATTATTAACGACGTTGAAACCAAGTCATTAACGAAGTAGAAGACAATTGCACACCAAACTTTCAACTTCATGATAAAATTTCCAATTTCTCAGCACTAATATACCCTCTGATTCATCGTTTGGCGTTTGCACATATCAGTTAATAGGTTAATCTCGTCCATTTTATCACTATTCCTCATTAAAGGGGTTGTACTTCTTTCATAAAAACTACGCGAACAGAGTTGTGAGGAATATTGATTATAATTGACACACTACATAAATTTCACAATCACCATCATCAATTGATCGACCGATGCATGTGTCGGTGTCTTAACTCACAAGCGACATGTTTTTGCGGTCTCATATCTTCATATCCATATTGTACCAGAAATGTGGTGTGATCTGTAATTTTACTGATGGTGTCCAATGCCCGATTGTGAAATTTTGAGCAAGTATTGATTTGCATGGCCGGTGATACTTACATAGCAGGAGCCGCTTACCGTGTCGACGCACCCGGCCTCGTTCTTTTTGGAAGTCAAGCCATTCTATCAGTCTTTTCTTGTTCCCTGCTTTCGTGTCTTCTTGATCGGTATATGAGATGTTAAATGTTTTATGGATAATAATTGCCAATGCACTTACAAATGTAACATAATATGAACAGACTTTCTTTATGAATACTTGGAATCAGGAAAAATACAACATTAAGACGATTCTCAGTATTGTACTTTGTTAATCTTATGAAAGTTATGATTTGACATTTTTAAGTTTTATGGTGATTTATATATTTTTGTCCATTTAAAGAGAACTATAAATATATTGTATTGTTAATGCTGTAAAGTGATATTATGTTTTCGTATATAATCACGCCATCAGTATTATATAATCGTCCTTGGTAAATGTACATCGCAGGTTTTTTTTTTTTATTTAATGACGCACTTGATAAATGTTTCGATCAAAACTTAGAACCTTAGCACAGCTGACATATTTTCACATTTAGTTTAAAATGGAAATCCCGTTTTCTATTAAGTTGCAACTTTGTTAAATGAAACAGTTAGCTTATATAACCTTCTCAAATTCAGAATAGTTTATGCATTATACCCCCCACAAAAAAAAAAAAAAAAAAAAATAAAGTACACAAAAAAACAAACACAAAAAAACACAAAAAAACGCAGTCTTAAAATTTCAAGCCAAGGTTGACAATGTCTTTTCGAGGGGTAACAATCTGCTCTATCACACTCTCCGATATGTGTTATTTAATTCATTAAACTGAATGTTCTGTTATTACTGTCTATTAAATTTCAAATTCAAAGAAATAAACTGTGACGTCTTGTACATAACAATCATCAGTATTTATTAAAGCGTACACTTGATCAAGCGTCTTTGTGAAGGGTAATAGAGTGTTTGCCATGGGATAGAGTAAATTGTCTCCCTCCTATCAACCAATCAAAATCTAGCATTTTGACATGAAGAATAATAAAACAATATCCAACGGTACTTAGGAAAGAAACATCATAACTAAATACATGATTGTTGGATCTATAAATACCGAGACACGTCGTATAGCATGCGTATTTACAATCGGCAAAACAGTCATATTCGGGTCACGTTCGGTACTTAGCAGACAGACGATGTAGATGATAAACCACAATCTAAGACGTGGTAAAAACGTCGTTAGTTAGTTAAGATCAACCAATTCGTGATGTTGTCCATAAAATTAACGGAGTGTCATTTTTCTCATCACTTGGCGTCCGTCGTCCGTCGTCCGGCGTCGTCCGTCGTCCGGCGTCGTCCGTCGTCGGCGATAACTTTTTACATTTTGAACTTCTTCAAGAGAACCACTGAATGGAATGAAACCAAACATGGCATGAATGTTCCTTATGAGGTGCTGACCAAGTGTTACTACTTTGTAGCCGATCCATCATCCAAGATGGCCGCCAACGGGGGACTTAGTTTAACATAGGACCCTATGGGAAATACATACAAATGTCTTCTTTTAGAGAACCACTGAATGCAATGAAACCAAACATGGCATGAATGTTTCTTATGAGGTGCTGACCGAGTGTTGTTACTTTGAAGTCGATCCATAATCCAAGATGGCTGGCAGCGGGGGAATTAGATTAACATAGGACTCTATGGGAAATACATACAAATGTCTTCTTTTAAAGAACCACTGAATGGAATGAAACCAAACATGGTATGAATGTTCCTTATGAGGTGCTGACAGAGTGTTGTTACTTTGAAGCCGATCCATAATCCAAGATGGGCGCCAGCGGGGGACTTAGTTTAACATTGGACCCTATAGGAAATACATACAAATGTCTTCTTTTAGAGAACCACTGAATGGAATGAAACCAAACATGGCATGAATGTTTCTTATGAGGTGCTGACCGAGTGTTGTTACTTTGAAGCTGATCCATAATCCAAGATTGCTGCCTGCAGGGGACTTAGTTTAACATGGGACCCTATGAGAAATACACACAAATGTCTTCTTTTAGAGAACCACTGAATGGAATAAAACCAAACATGGCATGAATGTTCCTTATGAGGTGCTGACCGAGTGTTGTTACTTTGAAGCCGATCCATAATTCAAGATGGCCGCCAGCGGGGGACTTAGTTTAACATGGGACCCTATGGGAAATACATACAAACGTCTTCTTTTAGAGAACCACTGAATGGAATGAAACCAAACATGGCATGAATGTTCCTTATGAGGTGCTGACCAAGTGTTGTTACTTTGAAGCTGATCCATCATCCAAGATGGCAGCCAGCGGGGGACTTAGCTTAACATAGGACCCTATGGGAAATACATACAAATGTCTTCTTTTAGAGAACCACTGAATGCAATGAAACCAAACATGGCATGAATGTTCCTTATGAGGTGCTGACCAAGTGTTGTTACTATGAAGCCGATCCATAATCTAAGATGGCCGCCAGCGGAGGACTTAGTTTAACATAGGACCCTATGAGAAATACGTACAAATGTTTTCTTTTAGAGAACCATTGAATGGAATGAAACCAAACATGGCATGCATGTTCCTTTTGAGGTGCTGACCAAGTGTTGTTACTTTGAAGCTGATCCTTCATCCATGATGGCTGCCAGATGGGGACAATGTTTAACAAAGGACCCTATGGACAATACATACAAATGTCTTCTTTAAGAGAACCACATACTGAATGGATTGAAACCAAACATGGCATGAATGTTCCTTATGAGGTGCTGACTAAGTTTTGTTACTTTGAGGCTGATCCTCCATCCATGATGGCCGCCAATTGGGGGACTTCCTTTAACATAAGACCCTATGGGAAATACATACAAATGCTTCTTCTAGAGGTACACTGAATGGAATGAAACCAAAACATGGCATAAATGTTTCTTATGAGGTGCTGATTAAGTGTTGCTACTTTGTTGCCGATTTACTATTCAAGATGGCCACCAGGATTTTTTGTTAAATTACAGGACCAATATTAAACTAAATTTGGCCTCACTCATTATTAGGGTATCTGTTATGATTTTAATCTATTTTTACATGATTTCCAAAACCAAAGTAAAATCAGGTGAGCGACACAGGCTCTTGAGAGCCTCTAGTTAATCTTTCCTCCTCATAACTCTGTTGGAGCAGTTTCTGCGTAAGGAGCACACTCCTGTATATGACGTCCGTATAGTGTGAACATGCACGAGTATAACGTATCAATTGAGATATGTAAACACCATACGACGGAGCAGAGGGTATATTACTGCTGAGAAATGGGAAATTAATAATTGGGAAGTTGAAATCATCCCGTTTGTCATAGATTTTAGTGTGAAGTCGTCCACCTGTGTCAATATTAAGAAAAATATCATGGTATGAAGCAGTCCTTCTAGTATCAGTAGTATCCTCAATTTCAAGTTCACTGGGATATATGAGATGCAAGTACTGACTGAAATATGGGTTATTCGGTGATAGGACATCATTACTATATCTGAAAGTAAAATTAAAGAATTTCGCAAGGTGCTTTTTCTTTCTCTTTTTAAGAAGGTTCTGATTGAATTCTGCTTCATACGAGTAGAAAAACAAATCGGCCAGAAGGGGTGCATAATAAGTACCCATTAGAATACCGACTGTCTGTTGAAATATCAATCCTCCAAACTCAACAAATATATTGTCGATTAAAAAGTCCAGCATTTTGATAATATCATCTTCAGTGTATTTTCTGATAGAATCAGTGTGGTTCTTCACAAAATAAGAATTATTATAACCCAATACAAGAAATGTATATCTACGATTCCCATTTTTATAGAGATGGTGAAGTCGATCTTTCAATTGAGCATGGGGAATAAAGCGTAGAAAAATCAAAGGTCTTAATGTTGCTGCAAAATTGCAGAGATTGTAGTCTAAGATTTAGCAGTAGATCTTTAGAATTTTTGAGAATCCACATCTGATTGACACCACTGGTTGAATATATCTCATCACGATATTTTTGAAGGCCATCTTTTACTGTAGAAAGAATAGTAGTCAGCACTTTAGAAAGATGTTTAGTCGAACATCTTGATGATCCAGCTATGTATCGTTCTTTATAAGGAGTTTTGTGAAGTTTTGGTATCCAGTATAATGACGGTAGATTTTCTTCGTTTTCTTTGATGTTAATACCAAAAGAAAGAAGCTTTATAAATATAATGGGCATAAAAATGGGAATTCAAAGTTATAAATACAAAATTAAACATCTTAATGTATAAAAAAACAATACTTATGAAGGACGGACAAATGGACTGGTATTGATACAATTTACCAAGTCTGTGTGGTATTATAAGATATTAGACCCAATGGCATTGCATGATTATAGCCCTATTCACCAGCAAAAGAGACCCGGGTCAGTCATGCCAATCTAGTTTTTTTAATACCAATAACAAATATTAATTATCATATAATTGAAGAATAATATGAACGTCTTCGTAGCATTAGATCTTTCACGATTCTTTTCACGATCTTCAAAAACCGGTACGTGATCTTTCACGATCCGAAATATCAATTTTGTGTGAATATTTCTTTTTTTACCAAGTTTCAGATTATGTTTATACAAAATAACTATGAGAACCATTTGATGCATTCAAATAGAATGCCCTTTTTCCAAGAAAAATAGTTTATTTTGTTGGAATTTGTGAAAAAATCATGTTTGTTTACATTTTTGATGTCACTGAAATGTCGAGGAGCAATATGCCTTTTGTTGTTTTGTAAAAACTATGTACTTTTAGAACTGGATTTTCTCACATACTGATCATAATGTTCAACCATTTTGACAGACAGTTTTATTTTGTTGTAAATTTGTCCGTGTAATTAATTAAATTAGATTAATTAATGACTTTTCATATGTCTTCTCGATTAAATTTCTTTCACGATCCGGTACCAGAGCTTTCACGATCGTCTCGCAATAGTTGACCTCCGTTAGATATTCTTTCACGATCATTTCTCTCGATAAACCGAATGACACCCGTGTTAGCGAGTACACACACATTTTGTATTCAGACTATGTACATTTATTGTTTATATCCTACAATAATTAATAACTGGCGCTTTAAGGTTCGTGGCATATAAACTCTTATGTATTTAATTATTTTGAAAACAAAATGAAAATTATGTCTAATGAATAACCATGATGAAATAATTGTTTTTTCCATAATTGAATCGTGCATTATGTGTATTGGATGACTTAGTTGCCTTCTTTCTAGTGCTATCTATTTTGTTTACTGACAAATGACGAAATAATGCAATAGTTAAAATTAAATATTTTACAAAACTTTGTCACGATTAAAAAATTAAAACCGACTGAATGAATTAAAATATGAGAATTCAATGATTATCGATGTCGAAATTAGCCGTCGGTAATAAACAGTCAGTTTGTGTAAAAGAAATAGCTACCAAATTTGTTTATTATGTATGTACAAAGTATATGTATATTGTATATAATCAGCCCTTCTGTATATTACTTGTTTTTATAATTGATTCAACAAATTTCGCTTGTCCAGGTGTCAATAACGGTGATGTTCACACCACGAGTAGTGAAAAATGACACAATAACACAGCGATCGATCAATAATATAAGTAAAAATTGCGTGCCGTATGCTGAATGTCGCCCCTCCTCTGAAAAAGGACGCTAATTTTTATGTAAAATCTCGCAAAATTATGACCCATATTTTGGCACATCCCTGTTCACCCAATAATAGGAAGTGAATTCGTCACCATCATGGTTTCAAAGAGAAAGTAAAACGTTAAACGCCGGATTGTCGTCCAATTAAAACACTCGTTACATTGTTCTTTTGTATATTTAGAATCCGAGATAAACCTAGAATTTCTCGAGAAATGAGATAATTCATTATCTGAAATTGAGAAAATTAATTATCTGGAGATAAATTAGGATTATCTGAAAATCGATCAGAAAAACCTAGATTTTCTTAATATTTTGAGATAAACCGGGATTTTCTCCAGATAATGAATTTTCTGTATTTTCTGAGATAAACTTGGATTTTCTCGAATTTGAATTAAGCTGAGATAATCTTAGTTTATCTGAGATAATCCTAGTTTATCTGAGATAATCTCAGATTATTTAATAAAAGTGGTTTAGGCGTGCCATATATCTGCCTTGAAATTTTCAATCAGACAACCCATAGTTGGGTTGCTCCCCCTGAATTGGTAATTTTAAGAAAATTTTGCGGTTTTTGGTTATTATCTTTACTATTATTATAGATAGTGAT